TCTTTACCTTAGGTCGTTCCTCGTTTCTTCTAGACTTAGTTAAGGTCTATTAACATCGGTCCGTAGTATAGTTACCTCTATTTTTTAGTATTAGACCTTTATCCCTTTACTACGAACCCTCGTCGGTAATTATCATAGCGTTTATATTCTTAGTAATCGTTATCGACCTAGATTACTCCATCGATCCAGTCTTCGATTTTCTCACCTTTATACGTCCTCATCTCCCATTTAATCGCTGGCTTAAGGCCTTCGCGAAAAATAGGGATCGATATACCGTCACCCCATCTAAGTACTACGTTTAGGGTTCGGAATTTAGTTATATAATCTTAAACCGAGCCCGTTTAACGTAGGTTTATAATCTATCGTTCCGCTTCTTTCTCTTCATCCCTTACCTTAAACACCTTCCTAACTTTCGTCTTAAACCCCTAAAAGGTTCGAAATAATGTAATAGTTTCATCTTCCCTATTACCTAGCTGATTCTCCATATAGTCTTTAATAAACGGGCGGAGCCAGGCTTCGGCTCCTCCTTCGAAATAGCTTCCTATAAAGAGGATCTTTTATATATTACTTAGGAAGTCTCCTAGGTTCATTAATAGATATATATCCATATAGTGAATAAAGGGTGTAAGTCTTTCCTACGCTCTATTAAAGGGCTTAGGTAGGTTTCCGATCTTACCCTTAGGTACTAGTTCTACCGTAACAGGAGCTACCGACGCTGTCTCTACCGTAGTAGTATCTAATGGTATCGGTCTTAATGTACTTAGTCCCGCCATCGTGTCGTTCAGAGATAGTCGTAACGCTTATCGTACGAGGAGTTCGTCGGTTAGGGATGTAGGCCTTATATATCTTCCGTAACTACTTATAGAGGTCGTCTCTCGTACCGGTTAGGGGTAGCTAAAGTATTAGAGCTACTTCCTATATAGCCTAACGGGGTTAGGCTTCCTTAGTTACAGTTCCTTTATTATATGAGCTAGGTCGAGAGTACGTAAGGTATAAATAGTCGAGTGACTTTAGAATAGTATAGTGAAGTAGATGTCATAAGTTAGCTACGAGAGAGTGTAACTATAAAAAGGGGAATGAGCGTAGCTATATACTTATAAGGTGTATCCCGAACAGGTAACTAGGAATGATATGTTAATATGTCGATATAGTCTATACTATCATACTAACATATCAAACACTTCCTCTTTAGGTAGTCACGTACAGCACGTGACCTAGCCTTATATAGCTAGGCTGCCGCCCCGGCAGACCTACCTCTAGGCGCCCCGCGCTCCAGGTCATATGAAGGCCGTTTCTAACATTAAGTAGGCGAGTATTACGCATAAAGTAATGGTAAAGAGAAAGAAGAGAGAGGAAAGGAAGGCCTTAATAGAGGTCGAAGACGTAGATATATATAGGACTAGAAACTACCTACCTATTGAGTATAATGCGATTATACTATAAATGGGAAAAGGAAATGAATAGGCTAAATAGTAATAAAGTAAATGCACTAAGCGATTAATGTATAAGAACGAAATACTAAGAGTATAATTAAATCGAATAAAGACATTCATTTAATATAATAATAGTATAATATACTATTATTACCTAAATGCGGATACTTCTACATTAGGACTAGCGTTAAGTTGACGAGGCTACGTAAGGCTGCTAAATGCTCGGCTACCTTACTAGTTCGAGGGCGAACTACCTAGGGGGAAAGGGTAACTGTCACGAACACCTACGTAATACTGGATACTCTACGTGACATTAACTAAGGAGTTAGACCGCTAGCTAAGTAGCTAGCTTACCGTATGTATATAGTAAGAGGGGTTATACCTATTAACCTTAAAGCCTTCTTTAAGCGTTGACATCTCTATCTATAGGCTAGTTATCTATCATTATTAATCCTATAGTATATACATTCACCCTCTAGTTAGGTAACGGGCCTGATAGAAGGGTAGATTATATAGTAGATATTAAATTAACGCCCGTATTACTACTACAATAAGAGGGAGAGTACCTTACGTACGTATAGCCTACTTACGTAGTAAGGAAGCCGTTATATAATATAGATAACGGGTACGATATAAGAATCTAGATAAAAGATATAATAGGACTAGAATAACCCTAGAAGATACGAGAAAATAGAAAGATAGTTATAGAATACTACTATAACGACCTACTTATAGGATATCTAGGAATAGATAAGATAATCGAGTTAATTACCTAATATTACGAACTATAGAAAGGTATAAGAAGAGATATCTAAGAATTTATACGAAATTACGAAGTATATATATAGGATAAGTATAATAAGTATAAACTATATAGATTACTATAATTACTATAGGTACTAGAAGGAGCGTAGATATTAATTATAATAGACTTTATTACGAAGCTACCGAAGTTAAAGGAACCCCTTACGGGTATAACCTATAATAGTATCTTAGTAATATATAATAGGCTTATAAAGTTCTCCTATTTTTAACTATACCTAGAAAGCTTAATAGTAGAAGACTTCGCGTATAAGTTCTTAAGAACCGTATTTATAAACTACGGTATACTAAAGGAAATTATTATAGATAGAGATAAGCTCTTTACGTTAAAGTTCTAGAAAGAACTAATAAGATTATTAATAACGAAGTATAAACTATCTATATTATTTCATCCTTAGATAGATAGTTAGATAGAAAGAATAAACTAGATACTAGAATAATACCTACGAATATACGTAGACTATAGATAAACGAATTAAGTTATAATACTACCGATCGTATAATTCTACTTTAATAACTATAAATTAGTAATAGAATTAAGCCTATTTTATACTAATTACGGGTTTTACTTAAGATTAGAAGATAATATCTAAGAAAGCTCGAACCTAAGAGTACTAATAAAGGCTAAAACGATAAAAGAAATATACGAGAAACTACGAGAAGCCTTAAGATTTATCGTAGAAAGAATAGTAAAATACGTAAATAAGAGAAGGATTAAGGGACCGCCTCTAGAAGAGGGGGACTCCGTCTACCTTTTACGAAAGAATATTAAGATAAAGCGACTAAGCGCGAAGCTAGACTACGTTAAACTAGGACCGTTTAAGATTAAGGAAAAAATAGGGAAGGTTAACTATCGACTAGAACTTCCCTAAGATATAAGAATTTATAGTATATTCTATATTTCGCTACTTAAATTAGTACTAAAGAACGCTAAATTAATCTAGTTACTACCTTTAGACGAAGAAGTCGTAATAGAAGAGTACGATATAGAGAAAGTACTCGTAAGATACGTTAGGCGTAGTACTCCTTAATACCTAATTAAGTAGTTAGAGTACGACGAATTAGAAAATAGTTAGGAACTAGAAGCTTACCTTACGGAAGAGACTCTAGAAGAAACTTAAAGGTAATACTTTAAGTAGTTTCGCTAGATAATATAGCTTCCTAATTAATCTACTCGACGCTTAAAGCGTCGGAATAAGCGAAGTTAGGCTCGACTAGAGCTACCTCTTCGGAGTTAAGTAGCTTATTAAAAATACCTAGTACCTATATCTTACGACGTAATATTTAACTCGAGATTTCCTCTAACTACTCGAGCTCGCTCTAGAAGGATACGTCCTCTTCCTCGACCTTAGTAATTAACTTACGTAGACGGGTAATTTCCTTTCGCTTTACTCGTAACTTTATAACTAATTATTTCTTTTATTTTCCTACTTTTCGGAACTCTTCTATCGAAAAGGTACCGTTATACTTTCGCTATTTTCGAAGACATTTAATATAAGATAACGACTATTCGCGGTCGTAGTAATAGATAACTCTATAGTTAACGTACTCAGTATAAGCTACTATCGTAATGTTCTCGGGATCGGCGGAAATAGAGTCGGCGAGTTCGATACGACGCTTACTCTAAGTCTTTATAGGCTTCGAAGAACGACGTAGTTTAACTATACGGAAGGGCTATATAGTTAGCTATAGGAACGGAGAAGAAAGAAGAGAAAACGAGAGACGGTAGAGGGTAGGCGCGGCCTACCTTAAGTACGTTAAGGATAACGAATAGGAAGGAGGGGAGATGGTATTAGAAATGGCCTTTATACGACCTAGGGCGCGGGGCGTCTAGAGGTAGGTCTACCGGGGTGATAGCCTAATAATACGAGGCTAGGTTACGTACCGTACGTAACTACTAGAAAAGGAAAGAGACGATATAGCGATATATTAGTATAGACTATATTAATATATTAATATACTATTCCTAGTTACCTATTCGGGATACGCCTTATAAGTATATAGCTACGCTTATTCCCCTTTTATAGTTACACTCTCTCGTAGTTAACTTATAATATCTACTTTACTATACTATTCTAAAGTTACTCGACTACTTATACCTTACGTACTCTCGACTTAGCTTATATAATAAAGGAACTATAACTAAGGAAGCCTAACTACGTTAGACTAAAGCTACTTCCTATATAGTCTAACGTAGTTAGGCTTCCTTAGTTATAGTTCCTTTATTATATAAGCTAAGTCGAGAGTACGTAAGGTATAAGTAGTCGAGTAACTTTAGAATAGTATAGTAAAGTAGATATTATAAGTTAACTACGAGAGAGTATAACTATAAAAGGGGAATAAGCGTAGCTATATACTTATAAGGTATATCCTAAATAGGTAACTAGGAATAGTATATTAATATATTAATATAGTCTATACTAATATATCGCTATATCGTCTCTTTCCTTTTTCGGTAGTTACGTACGGTACGTAACCTAGCCTTATATTACTAGGCTACTACTCCGGTAGACCTACCTCTAGGCGCCCCGCGCTCTAGGTTATATAAAGGCCGTTTCTAACATCTAAAGGCCTTCGGCCGAGGACTAGCGTGACGGTCATTATACGTCCTTAGCATCCCTGCCAGTCACATTTTTAATATAGGTTCTAGAATCACTACCGTGTCACTACTTTGCGAACCCACAAGACGTGATAATTCAACAATTCTACAGCTATTTGAGCTAGAATAAACCCTCTGCTCCTGCACTAACGATCCACCTCTCCGAAGACCAGATCCATTGTTCCGATTATGGCCACTGCATCAGCAAGTAGATGGCCACGGCTGATCTGATCGAAACAGCCCAGGTGGGCGAATCCAGGTGCTCGAACTTTACATCGGTATGGACGTTCGCTTCCATCGCTGACGAGATAGACGCCCATTTCTCCCTTGGGGGCTTCAATCGCACTGTAGGTATCTCCCGGTGGAACAGTATAGCCCTTGGTGAAGAGCAAAAAGTGGTGAATGAGGGCCTCCATGTTCTCCTTCATAGCTGCTCGTGGGGGTGGGGCAATCTTGTAATCTTCGACTTTGACAGGACCCGGAGGCATCTGGTTCAGGCACTGATGGATGATGCGTAAAGATTGTCGGAACTCTTCCATTCGGCACAGGTATCGATCGTAACAGTCACCATTCTGACCAACTGGCACATCGAATTCGACCTTATCGTAGGCATCATAGGGCTGACTCTTCCGGATGTCCCAGGGAACGCCGGAGCCTCGCAGCATGACGCCGGAGAAGGAATAATTGAGCGCATCAGCAGCGGAAACGACGCCAACGCCCTTTGTTCTGCCGATCCAGATACGGTTGTCTGTCAGGAGTTCCTCAGTCTCGTCAATGCGATCACCAAACTGAGTTGCCCATGCATAGATATCGTCCAGTAATCCAAGGGGAAGGTCTGCCTTGACACCACCAGGGCGCACATATGCAGCATGCAAGCGTGCACCTGAGACACGTTCGTAGAATTCCTGTCTCCAATTAGCGAATAGCACAACGTTTGGTGTCTTCCCATACCATGAGCTTCTCTCGCTCCTCGAAACCCCACAGGAAAGGAGTCAGAGCGCCAACATCCATAGCGTGCGAAAGAATCGACATCAGGTGATTCAATATCCTTGTGATTTCCCCAAACATGGTCCGAATGTACTTGGCTCGCTCCGGAATGTCGATATTGAGCAGCTTCTCGACGGCGAGCGAGAAACATTGCTCGTTGGTCATCATCGAAACGTAGTCAAATCGGTCGAAATATGGCAGAGCCTGGAGATATGTCTTGTACTCGATCAATTTTTCCGTCCCCCGATGTAGCAGTCCTACGTGAGGATCTGCGCGGACAATCTCTTCACCATTGAGCTCGAGAATCAGACGCAACACTCCGTGTGCTGCGGGATGTTGCGGACCAAAGTTTACTGTATAATGTCGGATCTTTCTTGTCTCGTAGTCATCACCCAAGCTCGTATCGGGGGCTTTATTGATCAAGTTGGAGTCTTGCTGGACGTGCTTGGTGAAGGTAGAATCAGTGGGACTGATGGTCGTGGATAAAGGTCCACCAGGGGTTTCGGGGTTGGGAGCAGAGATGGGCCCGGTGGTGCTAGGTTCTGCCCTTCGAGGAGCGGTCGACGAGATCGAACGGGAGAAAAGGAGCGACTGCCTCTGTCTCGAGGGAAGCTGAAGATTTGGTGAGCGGCAAAGTCGTTTTGAAGAGTGTGCGTGCCGGCTCGCAGCTCGCACAAATGAGGCCGCCATCGTCATGCTTGTCCTGTTTGGCACGAGGCCAGAAGAGAGAGGGCGCAATTGTCGTCGAGTCTATGCTTCAAGGTTGGCCGCATCAATCGAAGTAGAAGTGCCTCTCAAGTGTGCCCTTGGCCACTGAGGGAGGAAGTCAATGACAGCAACTGGGATAGCTACGCCAATACGTTCAGCTATTACCGGAGCCATGATTGGTGGAAATTACGAGTCTCCACTAGCTTATGTAATTCCAATTTTGGAGAATCTTTTTGATTCAATTTTGTCACTCGAGGGACATACTGCGGTCAACTATTCAACTCCCCCATGGCTCCCTTACAGCACTCACACGACGGTCTTGACAGGCGGAAGGTATGTCGCGTGGGTCTGAAGAATGTGTTACAGGGCTGACTGCTGACCCCATTGGCAGGTTGTTGGTATCAACGCCGAGACCGTCACCAATATCACATCAACCGACTTCCCGGGTCACCATGCGGGCGAGGACAACTCTTGGTCGACTGACAAATTCGAGAACAATCTGAAAATACTCTTCCACCAGAATCAAAGAAATGAAGCCACATTCTCCCTTGTCGGAGTCGACGCCTCTGTCGCCAACGCTTTCCGCCGCATCCTGCTTGCCGAAGTGCCTACCTTGGCCATTGAAAAGGTCTATGTTCAGAACAACACCTCTGTGATAGCGGATGAGGTCCTCGCCCATCGGCTAGGACTCATACCATTGAAAGGAAGCCTCGAGGGCTTCAAAGAGTTCAGAATATTTGTCGAGCCGCATTCTGACAGTGGTTCCAAGGGGACGGGTTTGACGGATAGAAACACAGTGGTGCTCAAGCTAAAAGTCAAATGCGAACGAAACCCACAGGCAGATAGAAACGCGACAGAGCCAGAAGAAAAATACATCAACAGCAGCGTCTATTCACGACATATTGAATTCCAGGCTCAAGGGGTACAGGAAGTACTTTTCGACAAGGAGCCGATTCAAGCAGTTAGTCCAGATATATTGATCGCCAAATTACGGCCAGGTCAAGAAATCGACTTGGTCATGCACGCACACATGTCCAAGGGTGGTGACCACGCAAAGTTCTCACCTGTGGCAACTGCTACATATCGCCTCCTGCCCACCATAAACATCACGAAACCCATTTTAGGGGCAGACGCGCGAAAATTCCAAAAATGCTTCCCCCCGGGCGTGATCGACCTCGAACGTGTGACACCCTCGGACGCCGCTTCGGACGAACCAGCATACCACAACCGTGAAGGTGACGAGAAGGCTGTCGTCAAAGACCCCATGCGCGACACCGTTTCACGAGAATGCCTGCGGCACGAGGAGTTCAAGGGGAAAGTCAAGCTGGGTAGGGTACAAGATCATTTCATCTTCAACATTGAGAGCACCGGCCAATTCCCGAGTGATGTCTTGTTCTTGGAAAGTGTCGATATCTTGAAGAAGAAGGCGACGAGACTGTTGAAGGCGTTGGAAGAAATCGGGAAATGACCACCCACAGAAAGTGATCCCCGTCCAGGACACTGAGCATGTGATATGATCATGACTTGCATCTCTCGGCGTTTCATGCATTGCAGGGTTTTGTGCGCTTCTCTAGATACCTCGGATTGCGAAATCAGAAAAGTTCTTTGCTTGTGCAAACTTGGTAACAAGCAGCAGGTGACGTGGTGAATAATTCTCCTCCGAGGATCAATCCTGCTCTTCAACCAGTCTTTCAAAGTATTTCCGCAATCAGGCTGGGCCTTCGACTCTATACTCTTTTTTTCACTTCTTGTACACTAGCCGAAACTTGAAACTGATCATGAATGCCGCATCACTGACACCTACTTCCTCGCCGTCACTCACCAACTCCCTCATTCTCTTCACCAGGTTGGGTCTTGTCTGCTCTTCCAAGCTCTTCGGAGCTTGTACATATAGCGTCTTCGCCTCCGTCCTTATACTCGGCTTCTTGAGTTGGGCTTCAGCCCTCTCAGCCAGGCTTGCGAGGAAGTCTTCCAGCGTCCACTCCGGATCAATGGTTAGCGTTTGGGCTAGGTTGCCGCATACCGGGCAATCCTCCTTCTTCTCCGCTGCAAAGGTGTATGTGTAAAGGCCACCCTCGTTGGAGTCGCCCGTGTACATCATGTAATTTTCCAGAAATGGCGCGCAGCCTGTCGCAATTTTCAAGGCCTCGTTGCAACAACTCGCCGCGATAATCGCATTTGTGGACGCAATTGCCGGGATGATGTTTTTCACCACACCCTGGGTCATCGAGTACGTTACCCCTGAGATATTGAACTCATTCGCGCGTTTCAAGGCGGTGGTGTATAACCAGGAGATGTGTTCCGGATCGTCGGTGTCGAGCGTTTCGCCTTTACGTTGTTCTTCCCACGCTATGATGTGCGCCCACTCTATACAATGTTGAGGTTGGCGCGGGATGGTGGCCAACGTGCACAAGGGCACAGCAGCACGAGGCGCATGCATGGAGAGCTGGCACTCAATGCAAGAAGTGAGACTCGGGAGGATTACTCGCGCTTGGCCTTTGAACCCTTCGGTGCCGCCATCAATCAGAGGTTTAAGGGATTCGGGGTTTTCCATGTCGACCATGTCGACCAGTGTGGCGTTTATCCAGCGGCGGGCCTCGATGCTGTCGAGTCCACAAATGACTAACTTGAATTGCATGTAGTATTCTTCGTCCTTGTCCTGGATCTTACCATTGTAAGGGGTGATCTTGACGCCAGGAACACGTTTCTCCACGAATGCTGCGGCGACTTCAGCTTTAAATTTTCCTACATCGGACTGGCGGAAGAGGAATTGACGGTTCAAATTGGACACATCGATGGTGTCCATGTCGATAACGTGAATATCCTTGAAGCCGGACAATGCGAGGTTCTTCAGAATCTCACATCCGAGCCCGCCGGCGCCGATCACAAGGACTCGTGACGACTCCAGCGTATTGATGGTCTCTTCTCCAGGTACAAATTCATCTCCGGCATATGGTGAGGTGGTTGATAGAAGACGGTCAAGATAGGTCCTTGGATTCATGTTAGACATGGGCACTCAGCACAACCTTGGATCAGGCTTACCATCGATCGCGTGGAGGTGTGGGAGTGCCATTTGTGAGAAGTGATGAGATGGGTATCGACATGTTGAGTTTAGGACTAAGCGGTCCTCGTCGGGGACTGCCCAGGGTGGAAATATCTGGGAACGAAGAAGTGATGGAGTCGCAGCTCGATAGGTAGTCAGCCAAACAGAGGAGGCTTTCTCTGAGGTTCCTGGCTCGTCACACATGCATTGGCTGGGAGACACAGCATGTCAAGAGCCCACCGTCAGTCCTTGAAGTGATATATCGCATCAAGCCTCGTGGAATAGCGCTGAGAAGATTGATGCTCGGAAAGTTGTAGGGCGAGGAGGTGTTGTGTAAGCTTCTGACCTCCGTTTCTCTGTGTACAGTACTTCGTGCCTTGTAGGTCATTGGTACCTGGAAGGTGGCGCATCTTGGCGGAGAAGGCGGGCACACTCAGGCGGTTAGTATTATTATGTCACGGGCACCATTGTATGATTCGAGTACCCAAGCACCTGGGCGGTCACGCAGGCAGCCTTGTCCCTGGCTGTGGCCTCACACACCTCCTCTTCGAACATTCGAGCAGGCTGCGCCATTTGCCTCAAATCACCACATCAGTATGCAACTGCAGACATGGAAAGTCTATTGGAGCCCATCAAGACCACCCGCAACCTGCAGAATAGCATCAATAACCTCGAAGCCCTGTCGCTAAAGGAAGCAGTGCCTGCATCACGCACAGCCACTGGCAAACCCAAGATATCTGTGCTCGACATCACAACAGAGACCAGCGACAACGCAAGCGATACATTTAGTCTCCGTCCATCGACTGAGACGTCTATAGGTTCGACATCTGCAGAGACACAGAAGACGAATCATAAGCGTCTCGACTCCAGTGCATTCCTTCGAAAGAGTTACTTGGACAAAGCCCCCCAAGCCTCTCTACCAGATGATGCGCTTGAGATTCTGAAGAATCAGCCAAATACTGAAGACCTGGCAGCGGTTCTACAGTATCTCCAGTATGGCATTGAAGGGAGACATGACTTCAACATCCACGTCCCCGGCCCGAAGGCTTCCCAGATCATCAACGTACTTGTCACCGTCACCATCCCTGATCAATGGCTTCATCTGCGACAATCTACTCTTTCGAGGACAAATACGCAGCTCAGGTCAGCACTGCTACTATCACTTACTAGTGTCGCAGGACTCGGGGCACTCTTGATGCAAATCAGACGCCTCTCTTCTCTCACCACCAGTCAAGATCGGTCAGTGATGGAAGATACTGTTGCTGTATTATCGTCAATCCTTGCCGGCAACATGATTATATCAAAATTTCTATCCCATGCCACTAGAACTATTCCCACAGACACACAGCGCCGCGTATTCTGGCAAGAGGCGACAGCTCTACTTGCAGGCAGCAAGATCCTCACATCCATGTCTCAAGTCCTTGCCACGATTCGGGATCTGGATGGGCTAGGAGAGAATGAGAAATGGCTTGGAGACGGAAACGAGTACTCAAGATGGCTTGGACGCAATATTTCGACCGCCGCAATGAGCATCAATGCATCACCCGGTTCCAATACTCAAGAGATGAGCCTTCTCTGCCTGGTTCTGAAGAGGGGGCTTAATCTTGGGTATCGTGGTATAACTTGTCCGGGCGTATCTACATAGAAACCTTGCTGACCAAAGGATAGATACACTCATCACCGAGCTCTACAACTCACTACTGCTTGGTAAACGAGCGTTGTGGACTCCAATGCACATGTTGGTCCAGGGTCTCCCAAACTACGACCAAAAGGTTCTCTTTGATACTGTCCTGCGAGACCTTGCACGGAGATCTTTCGGAAGCGGAGCAAGTATCTTGGAACCCAGGGAATTGCTGATAATGAACACCTCCATTGTTGGAGGAGTGGCAGCCCTGATCAGTGGACTTGTGCAACACAATCCCATTCTAGAAGCGCATGT